GATCGCAGTACGGAGCCCGATGCGGAATTCACCCTTCATTGGGCAATTGCCAGACCCCCCCCAGGATTGTTCATGTCTTTGGTCCATCGCCAGTGTTCGCCGCGTCGATTCAACGCCTGAGATGGTCCAAGATAGCTCTGAGAGGGCGCAGAACACATACGAGAAGGCTCTTGGACGGCCCCACCGAATGCCTTGGAAGGGCTCCAAGAGGGCCCTGAGAGGGCCACGAAGTAGGCCGCAGGGTGCAATCTGCGTCTTAGGAAGTTCCCAGAGGTCCAAGATGGCCCCGAGAGGGCCACAAAGTACGCTGCAGGTTGCAGTCCGCTTCTTGGGAAGCTTGCGCGGTGCCAGGTTGGCGGCTCATGCGCTGCGGTGGCAACACGTTTCCCCTTCTCTGAACGCAGGCGGCTGGAGGTATCGTTCATTTCATCCGGATGCTTTTGCTCGTGCCCTGCATTCTCCCAAGCCCTTCTTTCCAACACGATAACTGTCTGTCTCAACGAAGTATGTCTCGCCCCACGATTGTTCGTGGGGGACAAGAATATCCGTATCCGCGGCCTCTCGGGCCGAACCCCTAGGCCGAGACCCCGCGGATACGGGGGGGGGTTGTTCGCGGATGCCCCGCGCGGATCGTATCCGTGCGACCGCGGACCCGCGGGGTCGCGCCCCGGAATCCACACCGCGAGGGCGCGGATACGGATGTTCGCCGCTCTTGAGCTGCAGTGTTCCCCCAGGTGCGCCAACGCCCTGGTTTGTGCAAATTCCTGTGCGCGGCGCTCTGGCTCAGACACTGGCTCCGACGCCGCTGCTGCACGGGCCTCCACACCGGAAGGGATCAGCGAGCGGCCGCGAGGGCGGGTGGCCCTCAGCAACCATTCGGGGTGTTTGTTGCGACTGCTCGCGGCAGCCCTTTTGGGGGCCCAGGATGCCGCTCTGCTTCTTCGTCCTTCTCCTTCCTCCTAGTTCAGGCCTCGTCCCACGATGCTGGCGGAAGCGAGATTTGATTCGCTACGCTCCCTGATTTCTGAGATGTGCGAGTAGGATGCGTTGTCAAGTCAAGTCAAGTCGCCCCGCTCGCATGAGGGCGGGCCCATATAGGGCGCGAGGGAAAAGGAGCATGCCAGTCACTGTTCGGGCGGGCGCGCACGGGAAGCACAGAGCCTGCTCACATGCAGAAGTCCAGGAAGTCTTCTGTCATGTCCACCCACGCGGCGTAATCTCGTGCAGCGTCTTGCCACGACCCGACGCGGTTCGCCTGGCAAAACGAGGAGAGTTTCGAGTCCCAAGGCAAGAGAGGGGACGACCTTGTGAGCGTGTCCCAGCTGGCGTCCACTGTAAGGCTCTCTGCGCCCACCGCTCCGGGGGCAAACTCGCAACATATGCTGCCAAATCCACGTACTTCTTCATGGACTCTCTCGACCAAGTCCGGATATCATGTTCCGTCGTTGCTTGATTGAGCCTTTCATGCCATAAGTGTAAGATCTCGTGCCAAGGTCGAGACCAATCCAAACCAGCTGGCGGGACAACGGCCTGCCGCATCAGTCGCCGGAAAGCAACGTCGATTTTGTGCAGTGAGTCGCTGTACGGCTTCCAGACGCCAGCTCCGAAACATGCCACTGACGTTACGAAGCGGCTGAAAAACTCGAGCCAGGCAGCGAGAGACACAGTCTGGTCGCAAATAATGGCCCTGTTTGCAAAGAAAGCCTTGCTTGCGGATGTCAGATGATACTCCACGTCCAAATTATGCGTTCCAGAACCTCCAGCGGACAGCATGCATCCCAACCACTTATGGGCGGCATCCCGGGGCAGGATTCGAATGGTTGCGCCGACCAGCGTGGTAATTTCAAGTGGAGGTTGCGCCTTTGTCGTCATTGCCACCGTCTTGGCCGCATTCAGAATCAATCCAACTTTGACCAATTCGTCCACCAGTGCATCCAGTTGCAGTGTAGCATCGCCCGCTGATGTGGCAAACAATATAATGTCATCGGCGAAACGTAAGTCTATGAGCGGTCTCAAACCGTCGCCAAAATCACATTCAAGATCCGACACGCGAGTTCTCCACGCACGCATGGCCCACTCCAACGCAGCTGTGAGCAGAACCGGGCTGAGCACGCATCCCTGGCGAACGCCAGCATTAATGGGAAACTCATGACTTCTGCCCCAATCACCCAAGACGTGCCCTTGTTGGTCTCGATACAGCCGGTGCATTATCCACATGAGATGGTCGCTGACGGCGAGCTGCCGCAGAGCCTCCCACAATGCTGGCCAAGATACTCGGTCAAACGCTTTTGACACTTCCAAGCTCACGATCCAGAGCGGGATATTCGCCGCTAAAGTTTTTTCGATAACAAGTGTTGCTGTCAACAGATGCTCCTCGAGACGTCGGTGAGATCTGAATCCGTGCTGTTTTGGTTGCTGCGATGCTAGCACGTGCTCGACGCGCCCCAGCAGCATGTAGGCAAACAGCTTGTAGGGTAGGCGAATGCTGGCTATAGGACGAAAATCACCCACTGCCTTGGCCTGCGTCTTCTTTGCCAGCATGATGAAAAATGTGTTGTGCCATGATTCTGGGACGGCTGCGCCAGGAAGAACAGCATTGCACAGTGTAAGTAGCATCTCCCTAGCTTCAAAATTCGAGTGTTTCAGCATTTCCGCCACTAGGCCACATTCGTCCGGGGCCTTATTTGATCCCAACCTCCGGATGCCCTTGTCGATTTCCTGCATGGTGAACGGCATCTTTGTGAGAGAAGGCGGCGGCATGTCCTCAAGTGCCCCGGCGAAGATATCGCGTAACATGTCGGCAAAATCGTCTGGCGGTGGCTGCTGCGACGCCTTCGTTTCGTACCCGAGAAGCGATCGGAGAGTTTTTCAACCCGCACCAACACGAATAATTGGACAAGTATCGTCGTAACCGCGCCGTCTTCCAGGCCCTAGCCTCTCTGAGGTGCATTTGGCGGAGTTGTAACGACAGCTGTTTTCTGTCAGATTGGTCAACCTTCTGCCGCCTCCTGGCCCGCGAAACCTGTAGGGCACTTGATGGGGTAAACTTGTGTTGAATGGTGATCCTCCTGCTTCCACAATGACTACCGGCTCGGTGTAGTGAATGTTCGATGTCTTCGAAGGTAGCGACACCAGGAGTAAATTGGAAGAGAGCTTCATGGAAAGACGCTGCAACTCCAGACTGATTCAAATATGGCTGCCAGCCTTTGAAATTCCGTGGCCGCTCAGGCCGCCGTCGCTTCTGAACCACACACCTGCACTGGCTATGGACGCACCTGTGGCCGAGGCCAACAGCCAACGCATTGCCGCACCAACTCTGCACAAACTCAAAACACGCATCAGTGCAACGAAAATCGATCCGGACGCGTGACCCATCGAAAGCACGTGAAGAAGTCCACGAATCAGGGGCATGTCGTGCATCTGGCTGTCGGTTCAAGACTCGAAGTCCGTGTTCAGAAAGCCAACGAACGAGCATCTGCCCGCGAGCGTTGCGCACTCCACACCCACAGGTGCCCAACATGTCTACGTCATCCCCCTCCTGTAGCTCACCGATAGTAGCGTTGAAGTCACCCCCGATTATCGATACGATTCCCTGGCGTTGCCCATCATCAAGTAGAAGAGACAATAATGTACACTTCCTCAGCCGCCTCAGGCGCGTCCCAAGAAGTTGGAAAATATGAACATATTGCTCGACATTGTGTAGCACCGTGCCGAAAATCCTGTACACAGACCCTCTCTGAAATTGGATGGAATCGAACCCCACTCAGCTGCTTGAGAAAATCGCTTGATAAGGCTATGCACACTCACGATGATTCGATCCGCCGCTGAAGTAAAGCATGCCACCACGAGGAGTCTTGATGATATCCTCGCGTTCCACCCGCCCTTCTCCGTCAAGAAGACAATATCGTAAGTAGACTGGCCACGCTCCAACAAGAAGTCGTCAAATCGAATGTTGTCACGTAGGCTTTGATCATTGTTGGTAATGAGGTGCATGCTCACGAATTCTGTTGCCGCTTCGGCTGGCAAACGGCCCGCCGATCTTTGGCCTTGCTCCGGACTCGGCTGCCGACCCGAAGCCCTTCATAGGAACGGCTCGTCCGCGAATTCGTTAACAGCTTCTGTGACCGCGACCGTTAACAGCTTCAGTGTAACGAGTTCGCGGACGAAGGATGCGTTGTGTGGAACAAACCAAGCCTCTTCCCTCCCCCCGAGCGGGGCGAGGCAGAGCGCGGCATGGAGGAGCAGGGCCCTCAGGGAACAGGGTTCCATAGACCTCGGGGCTTTCCCCATAGACCAGCTCTGCAGCACAAGCCGTTCTTTGACAGCCCCGGGGACCCTTTGGATGGCCCCAAGAAAACGGCGACTGACTTCCAGGACTCGCTGCTTTCATGCTGAGTGCGGTCAGGAACTTTCGCATGGTGTGTCGCGCCGCAGGCTCTGGCACACCACGCTCGGGTGCGACACGCTAACCACGTCTCGGACCCCGAGCGCCAACGTCCTAAGCTTTCCGCAGCCTTCCGCCCCGCGGTGCGAAGCAACATTCCATTAGCTTGCAGGGCATTGCGTGTCGCTGGGGCCGCCGCCGAGACACGCTGAGCAAACGTTCCCAGAGATCCGATGCATTGATTTTGTCAATAAGGGGTCCTCGGAAGTCCCGGTCCTTCGCCAGGGCTGGTTGTCCATCTGAGGTTGTGTTCTCACGGCCCCAGGGCCCAGCGAGGGCCCCTCGAGGCCGTACATTACGAAAAACGTCCGCAATGAAGCTTCCAATATGTTGGAGGCCTGGGTTCCTGCCCTCCAGGCCTCCCAGATGGTGTCCGAGGGAATGGGGTCGGAGGATCGCGCCGCATCGCCGACGCATCGCCCATGCGATTCGATGTGGAGTCTGCTTTTCTCCGCGCTGGCGTCGCGGATGCATCGCCGAGTCGGCACGATCCTCCGACCCTACCTTCTGCTCGGGCCCCTTCTGGGAGGTCTACGTACGGGCCGGGTTCCCCCAGTCTACTCCGGCGACGGCTCGGCCTCGGCGGTGAGTGGCGCCGTCGAGCGGATGATACCGAGGCCACGGCCGCCGGCCGCTGCCGCGCGCCCCACCGTGCGCCACCGTGCCGAGCGCCTGGGCGCGCGCTCGAATCACTGCGTCGCAGATGGCGGCGGATGGTTTTTTTCCCGTTTTCGGCATCCAGGGGCCCTCGCTGGGCCCCGGAAAAAAACGGCTCAGGATGAGAAGCTGGTTTGGTGGAGGGCCCCATTCAGATTTTGGGCCGGTTGATGCTCCCTGGCGTCACCGGGCGAGTCTGTCCTGATTCGGGCCCCAGGACCCTCACAGATCGATCCGGCTCGACAAATGAGCCAGGGAGATAGGGTCCAGGGTTCCAGTCGAATTGTTGTTCCTGGCGTCGGATCTCAGAGGCCATCCGACGGATTGATTCCTCTCGCTTCGCGGGGTGTATGTACAGACCACGTAATTACAGTCCAGTCGTTGTGGGTACTCCTGGGGGCCTCATTGGGGGCCTCTTTGAGGCTTCTTGGGGGCCTCTTGAGGTCTCTTGGGGGCCTCTTGGGGGCGTCTTTGGCCGTCTCGGGGCGCTCTTCCACCGTCTGGCCCCTTCGGAGGCCGTCTTGAGGGCCTCTCGGGGCCGCCTTGGGACTCATGGGGTCGTCCTGGACCGTCTGGGACCGTCCTGTGGGCCTTTTTGAGCCAGCTTGGGTGCTCTTGGGCCGTCTTGGGGCCCTCTTGGGCTGTATGGGAGCCATCTTCGAGGCTGCTTGGGCCGTCATGGGTCCCCGAGGTGCAGAAACGCTAAAATCTGTCAAAACCTTTTGAACCAATCAATGTTTTTGTTGCATCTAGAGACGCTTTGGGGGGTCCCCTCGGGTCCCTCTGTGGCCATCTTGGGAGCCTGTGGGCCCTCTTGGAGCCATCTTGGGCCGTGGTGGAGCCGTCTCGGAGCCATCTTGAGCCAGCTTGAGCCACCTTCAGGCCCTCTGTGACCCTTCGGAAACACAAGAGGCCCCAATCAGTGAATTTCGTATAATTTGTTTTGTCGTGTTTTCCCAACCATCCTGTGGTGTTGGGTCTTCGTTTTGAAGAGACAGCGCCTTGCGTCCCTCCCACCCACTCCTTCCGCTCCTCCTCCGTTCTCCCATCCCTGCCTCTGCCTTCCACACGAGCCAACGATTTCGTCACAACCTTCAGACGCTTCGTGGCCGCATAGGGAGCTCCGCCGAAGGATTGGCTTCGTTCGCATGCTCCCGCCGCACGAGTTTCGGCGCAGCCCCCGCACGTTTCGTGGCCCCATATGGAGATCCACCGAAAGCCCCAGTGGCTGCGCTCGCATGCGCCCACCCCGCCTACTTCGGCACATCCCTCACACTTTTCGTGGCCCCGTATGGAGCTCCACCAGAGGCCCCAGTGCCTGCGTTCGCATGCGCCCGCTGCACCATTTTCGCTACACCCCTCATACGTTTCGCGGCTCCATATGGGAGCTCCACCGAGTCTGCGTTTGCACGCGCCCGCCGCACCTATTTCGGCACATCCTTCACACGCTTCGTAGCCCCATAGGGAGCTCCACCGATGGCACCCGGGGCTGCGCTCGCACGCGCGTGCCGCACCTGTTTCGGCTGACCCTTCACACATTTAGCGGCTCCAATTCCAATTGAGAGTTCCACCGAAGGCCTCAGTGCCTGCGCTTGCACGCGCCCGCCGCACCCTTTTTCGGACCCCCCCTCACACGCTTCCCGGCCCCATGGCCCCCATTGGGAGCTCTACCGAAGGCCCCCGTGGCTGTGTTCGCACGCGCCCGCCGCACCAATTCGGCAGACCCCTCACACGATCCATGGCCCCACAGGGAGCTCCACCGAAGGCCCCAGTGGCTGCGCTTGCACGCGCCCGCCGCACCCATTCCGGCAAACCCCTCATGTTTCGTTGCCCCATAGAGAGTTCCACCGAAGGCCCCAGTGGCTACGTTCGCACGCGCCTGCCGCACCATACCGGCACACCTCTCGCCGCTCCGTTGCCCCATAGGGAGCTCCACCGAAGGTCTCACACGTTCACGCTTCGTTGCCCCATGAGGAGCTCCACCGATGGCGGTGCTCGCATTCGCCCGCCCCGCTTAGTTATTTCGGCACAACCCTAATACGCTGCGTGGCCCCATCAGGAGCGCCACCGAAGGCCCCAGTGGCGGTGTTCGCACGCGCCCGCCCCGCCAATTTCGGCACACCCCTCACAATTTGCGTGGCCCCATTGGGAGCGCCATCGAAGGTCCCAGCGGCTGCGTTCGCATGCGTCTGCCCCGATCGTTTTCGACTCACCACTCACACGCTTCGTTGCCCCATCGGGAGCGCCACTGAAGGCCCTAGTGGCGGTGTTCGCAAGCGCCCGCCTCGCCTTTTTCAGCACACTGCTCACACGCTGGGGAGCGCAACCGAAGGTCCCAGTGACTGCATTCGCATGTTCCCACCCCGCCGACTTCGGCTCACCACTCACGCGCTCCGTGGCCCCATAGGGAGCTCCACCGAAGGTCCCAGTGGCGGTGTTCGCATGCGTCCGCCCCACCGGACTCTGCATACCCCTCACACGTTTAGTGGCCCCAAAGGGAACTCTACCGAATATCCCAGTTGCTGCGTTGGCACGCGCTCACCGCGCCCATTTCGGTACATTCCTCACACGTTTCGTGGCCCCATGGGGAGCTCCACCTATGGCACTGGTCACACTTGCGTTACTCACAACTGGATATGGTTGGGTCGTTCGCCAAGCTAATTAAGTGATGCCGTAAGATGAACAAAATGTGTCGGCGATTCGGCGGGGGCGCTGGAGGGGATTAAAGGGAGGTTGCTTTGCAAAGGATAATGCGACAATGTATGGCAAGCTGGTTTCCTTGAGGCATCGTGAATTCACCCTTGCGTCACCCATTCGTCCTGTCGGACTGCCGAGATGCTTCGCTGCGGTTCGGACGTGAATGCCTCGCGCTTCGCGATGTGCCCGTCCAGAGCACGTAGAGACTGGACGTTGGGCAGCTTGCCCTGCTCATCTGGCGCGCTGTTCTGTCGTGTCGTTCTGCCCGCCCCGGGGCGCTGCCAGCGCCACCGGGGGACGGATGCGCCCCCCCGCTTCAGCGCTGGGACGAGCGTGCGAATGTTCACGAGGGCACTGAGCATTCACCGCGTGTCATCACAAGCCAGCTCCAAGTTCAACTCCGATGAGCATAGCATCGGAGGCAGCGTGAGCCGTCATGGGCCCCCAAGGGTCGAAAAAGGCGAGAACGCGAACATATGGCAAAACCCTTTCTGGAAATTCTGAACCATCCTGAGGTGTTGGGTCCTCGTTTTGAAAAGACGGTCCCCGCGTTCTCCTTCCTCCTCCCTCCTCCCCCTCTCCCCTCCCTCATGCGTCAACCACCACCCAGCACAGCCATTCCTCCTTGCGTTTTACCCACCCAGTACAGCGCTTCGTGGCCCCATAGGGAGCTCTACCGAAGGTTCCAGTGGGACCGTCCGCACAGCGCCTCGTGGCCCCATAGGAAGACCCCGGCGGCACCGCCCGCATGCGTCGTCCACCACCCCGTACTCCTCTTCGTGGCACGATTGATTGGGAGTCCACCAAACCCCAGTGGCACCGCCCGCATGCGCCCCCCCCACCCGGTACAGCGTTTCGTGGCCCCGTTGGGAGCTCCAGTTGTCCGCCCGCATGCGACCCACCATCCAGTCCAACGCTTCGTGGACCCATAGGGAGCTTTACCGAAGGCCCCAGTGGCACCGCCCGCATGCGTCCCGCCCTTCCCAGTGCAGCGCTTCGTGGCACCACAGGGGGCCCCATCGAAGCCCCTACTGGCACCGCCCGCATGCGTCGGCCGCTACTCAGTACAGCGTGTCGTGGCCCCGTACGGAGCTCCACAGAAAGACCCCGTCTCTCCCACCCAGTGCAGCGTTTCGTGGCCTCATCGGGAGCTCCAGCGAAGGGCACCGCCCGCATGCGTCCGCCACGCCAAGTACAGCGCATCGTGGCCCCATCGGGAGCTCCACCGAAGGTCCCGGTGGCACCGCCCGCATGCGTCTCCCCCACCCATTACGGCACGCCCCTCACGCGTTTCGTGGCTTTACAGGAAGGTCCACCGACAGCGGCACGCAGAACGCGTTATTCACAATTGTATATGGTTGGGTTTTTCGCCAGGATGATGCATTGCTTTTTGTTTGTATCTGGAGATGCTCTTCGGGAGCCCTCTTGGGCCCTCTGGGGCAGTCTTGGAGGCCTCTTGGGCCCTCTTGGGGCCATCCTGGGTTGTCTTAGGGCAGTCTTTGCCCGCCTGGAGGCCATGTCGAACCCTCTGGAAGATTTTCTTGACGCCCAGGAGGCCACAGAGGCTGATACCATGTAGTTTCCCCAAAAGGTGTTGGTATGTCCTTGGGCCCAAGAAGGGGGGAACTGTGTGGTCCGCCGATATGGCGCGATTCCACGGGAGGGTAGGGGATGCTAGGGGGAACGCTTCATAATGTACAATAGTGCGAGATATAACAGGTATGCAATGATTGAATGTACGGGATACGTTGTATCGGGGTTTCCGCTCCTTTCCGCGACCTGCCTCCAGCAACACGTCACCTCATGAAGTGGATTCCTTTCGCTTCGGGGGTGCACGCCCAGAGCACGTGTTTGCCCTCATCGTCTGGCGCGCTGTTTTACCGTGTTGTTCTGTCCGCCCAGTGTTGCTGCCAGCGACGGATGCGCCCCCCATCCCGTTTCAGCGCTGGGACGAGCGTGCGATTGTCCACGACGGCAGGAAGCATTCACCGCGTGTCAGCACGAGCCAACGCCAAGTTCAAACTCCGATCGACGAGCATAGCAACAACCCGCGGGTCTCTCGGGACAGCCGTGCGGCTCTCTTGGGGTCCTGTTGGGCCGTACTGGAGGCCTCTTGAGCCGTCTTGGGTACCTCGTTGGGCCATCTTGGGTTTGGGGAGATAAGGCCAACCCCAACCACATCGGCCGTTCAAGGCCCACTTGGGATTGACTGCGACCACTGGAATGGGACTGATCCCGACGCGCAGGATTTCCTCAGTACTCC